ACTTGTAAAAGAGGTTTCTTGGATTTCTTCATTTACTATCTCATACTCCATATCTCTTTCTCAACATGTGTGGGATAGAGCTTCATAAAGTATTAGAATATAAACTTAAAAAAAATAAAAATGAAAAGGTTAAATACTTGTATTGTCATGCATTTTTTACATTACATATTTAGAAATGAATTTAATGGTTAAACACATCAGTTAGTGTTGCATATAAAACTTAAGATGTTTTTTGGACTCTAGTTACCACGATGATATTAATATAGTATCACACATTTATATACCCATTCAAGATGCATAAAAGTTGTTTAATCCCTCCGTATAAGAATAAGTAGTGCAATAATTTGTCTTATATGTTATTTCGTATTTGGTATGTAAATGTGTATTTTCATAATATCAATTTTATTTATAATTTTCTCCAATAAACAATAAATAATATAGAGTATATCAAGTAATGACTTTTTTTTTAAAAACAAAAACAAAATCTAGTGGATTTTCAGATATATCTTTTTCAAAAAAAAAAAAAAAATTAAAAAAACTAAACACTCCCTCGAAAGAAAGGGCACGCTCCCTCGAAAGAAAGGCGATTCTACCATCGAGTGTGGTTGATCTATTGCTTCCATGGCTGACGATTTGATTGCTCAGTGTTCCAATTTGTCTATCGATGATGAGGAGAAGGACGTTGTGGATGTAGGTGGTGTGAATACAAGTGAACTTGATGCTAGGGTTTCCCTATTACTAGTCGGGAGATTATTATCGAACCGCGGAGTTAACCTAGATGCTTTCAAGAAAACTATGATGAGATCATGGGGATTGAATGAACGTGTGGCAATTCGCTCTATTGGGGCGAACAGATTTGCTTTCCTATTCTTTCATTGGAAAGACAAGGAAAAAATTATGGCTGGCAGACCTTGGTGTTTTGAACAAAACTTGTTGATCCTTAAGGAGATCGAAGGGGATGAACAACCAAATACCGTGACGCTTTTAGGGCAGCTGTGGATGATTGCTCGTGTAGGGATTTGGGTTTCAAAGGCAACATTTATACATGGCAGCGTGGAAACTCGGTGAGTACTATGGTTCGAGAGCGACTCGATAGATTTATTGCAGATGATATGTGGTGTTCGTTATTCCCTTACTCGGAAGTGATACATCTCCCCATATGTCACTCAGATCATGTGCCTATCTTGCTGAAATTTAGTGATAAATTTGAAGAGAAGCGGCAGGGGAGAATTTTTAGATTCGAGGCAATGTGGTTATCGAGTGAGGCTTGCGGTAAGGTCGTCGAAAACGCCTGGAATGACAACAGCACTATGTCTATGAAATACCGAGTTGATCATGTAGCTGGGAAGCTCACAGATTGGGCTGACAAGGAATTCAGGGTGGTCAAAAAAAGAATTAAAAAAGCAGAAACTCGGCTTAGTATGTTACAAGGAGGCAGACTTGATGCGACTCGATTGCAACAATGTAATGAGGTTGTGAACGAAATTGATGTTCTTCGCCGCCTTGAGGAGTCTTATTGGCATCCCCGAGCAAGAGCAAATGAGATGCGCGATGGTGATAAAAATACCAAATATTTTCATCATACGGCTAGTCAAAGAAGGGCTCGAAATCGAATTGTTGGCCTTAATGATAAAAATGGTGTTTGGCAAAGCTCGGAAGCAGGGATTACAAAAACTATTGCAGAGTACTTTGATGAGTTATTTAGTACAGGTTCCCCGACAGATTTTGATGAGGCTTTGGCAGGCATTGAGCACCTTGTCACGGATGAAATGAATGACACCCTAGAGCTTGAGCCAACTGATGAAGAGATAAAAGCGGCACTGTTTCAAATGCACCCAAACAAAGCACCGGGCCCGATGGTATGCATGCTCTCTTTTTTCAAAAATTTTGGGGAATTATGGGTGGTGATGTGGTGCGTTTTGTGAAAAGTTGGTGGAGGGGTGATGTTATGTTAAATGAGGTGAATGCTACTTGTATTGTTCTTATTCCGAAGTGTCAAGATCCGAAGAGTATGACGGAATTCTGACCCATTAGTTTATGCAATGTCTTATATAAAATAATTTCTAAGACTCTTGCTGATAAACTAAAACCTTTGCTGGAATCGGTGGTCTCTATCCAACAGAGTGCTTTTGTTCCGAAGAGGTTAATTTCTGATAATGCTCTTGTTGCTTTTGAGGTTTTTCATGCTATGAAGAGAGGGGTTACAGGTCGGGATGGTACGGCGGCTCTTAAGCTTGATATGAGTAAGGCATACGACATAGTAGAATGGATTTTTCTGGAGAAGGTAATGGCAAAGTTCGGTTTCCGGATTGCTTGGATTAATCGTATAATGCAATGCCTCTCGAGTGTCTCCTTTTCTTTCAAGTACAATGGGATGATTAAGGGGTCCCTTATTCCTTCTCGGGGGTTAAGACAGGGAGATCCAATTTCTCCTTATCTTTTCCTATTGTGTGCTGAGGCTTTCTCTACCCTTATTTCCAAAGCTGTGGCTGAGAAGAGTATTAGTGGGGTTCGGATTTGCAGAGGAGCTCCTAAGATATCACATTTGTTCTTTGCCGACGATAGTGTGATTTTTGCTAAAGCCAATTTGCAAGAATGTTCTAAGGTTGCTGATATAATCAGTACATATGAAAGAGCATCGGGTCAGAAAGTTAATATGAGCAAGACTGAAGTGGCGTTTAGCAAAGGAGTTTCTTCTCACCATAGAGGTTTGATTGTGGGTGCTTTGGGAGTTAGAGAAGTTGATAGACATGAGAAATACTTGGGATTGCCGACTATTATTGGGAGGTCGAAAAAAGTGGTGTTCTCTTGCCTCAAGGAACGAATCTGGAAGAAATTGCACGGATGGAAGGAGAAATTGTTGTCTAGGCCCGGGAAAGAGGTAATGATCAAAGCGGTTGCACACGCCATTCCTACCTATATGATGAGCATTTTTAGAATTGCTGATGGTTTAATTGATGAGATTCATGCGCTCTTAGCTCGATTCAGGTGGGGTTCGATTGGATCAGAAAGGAAAATTCACTGGCATAGCTGGGAGAAATTGTGTATGCCAAAATCGATGGGAGGGCTCAGTTTTAGGGATCTTAAATGTTTTAATCAAGCTTTGTTGGCGAAGCAATGTTGGCGGTTACAAAGGGATGGGAACTCCCTTCTTCATGCGACTTTAAAGGCGAGGTACTATAAAAATTCTGATTTTATAGATGCCTCTCGAGGTCATGACCTGAGTTATAGCTGGAGGAGCATTTGGGGGGCGAAGTCTCTTTTGTTGGACGGGTTAAAATGGAGAGTAGGTAATGGGAGCTCTATTCGGGTGTGGGATGAAGCATGGTGTCAAGGGGAGGTTCAAAATCATGTCCCAACTCCCCTGCCTAATTACGATCCGGAGCTTCGAGTGTGCAATCTCATTGACTATGACAGTGGCTGCTGGGATTTGAACGCTATTTCTGCTCAGTTTAATGCTGTCGACGCTAGAGCAATCCTTGATGTTCCCCTCCCAAAGTTGTGGCAGCAGGACTCTCGTTATTGGTGGCCTACAAAGGACGGGATTTACACTGTTAAATCTGGCTATTGGCTCGGCAGAATGGGTCATCTCCGTATTTGGGAACTTTTCAATGGTAGTGACTCTTCTATGCTTTGGAAGAAGGTCTGGAATTTATCGGGCCCCCCAAGCTTTGTCATTTCATTTGGAGAGCATGTAAAGGGAGTCTTGGTGTGATGGAGGTGCTTTGTAATCGCCACATTCGTCCTTCAAAAGCTTGTAACATTTGCAACAATGGTGACGAGTCAATCATTCATACCCTCTTTCATTGTAAGTTTGCTAATAAAATTTGGGCTCAGAGTACTTTTTTGGGTTTAATTGCTGATGCTCTTGCTAGCTCCTTTGTGGATATGTTTTTATGGGTGGCTGATGGGGATGTGTTGAATTTATTTTGCACATTAATGTGGGCTGCTTGGCATTGCCGCAACAAGGCCATTTTTGGAGGAGAGGAGGTTGCTGATCCTGTTGGTGTGGCAGTAGGATTTGTGAAGTATTGTGTAGATTACTGTCTGTATAATGCACGGGTGACAGTGAGCAGAACAGGGCCGTGCCTGGGATCTTCCAATGGGAGCTGGAAACCACCTGCTGCCCCTGCAGTTAAGGTGAATGTTGATGCCCATATAATGAATGGGGTTGGAGTGAGCTTTGGGGTGGTCATTAGAAACGCTGATGGTGAGTTGTTGGTGGCTGCTGTGAAGCGCCTTGATGTTAGATGGTCAGCAGAACTAGCAGAGGCAGGGGCTGCAGCATATGGAGTGCAAAATTTGGTTATGATGACATTGTCCTTGAGTGTGATGCTATAGGGGTTGTGAATGCTATCAACAGTGAGCATAAGGGGGCTGCACCAGTGTTCCATTTCTATGATGATATTGTTAGTAGTAAAATTTATTTTTCATCCTTTAAATGTTTACATGTGAAGCGAGGGGGCAATGTAGTTGCACATAGTGTAGCTAGGTGGGATACTTCGATCTCATCGGAACGAGTTTGTATGTCGAACTTTCCTCAAAGTCTTGTTGCTTTGACGGAGATTGATTTAATTTAAATAAATCCTCGCTTGCGTGTTTCAAAAAAAAAAAATTATCAAGTATGACTTATTTTTCATACATTAACCGGCACTTCATACATAACAGTTAAACTACTGCACTTATTCCAGAACGAGTAAGGGTATGTTCTGATTCTGAACTGAATTGAACTGATTGAAGCTGAACTGAACTGAATAGAGCTAAAATGAATTGTTTATAACAGAAGGAACTTCATAACAAAATTGAACTAATTGGAACTTAATTGAACTAAATAAAACCGAAAATAAGTTGAATACAACAGACCCCGAGAACTATTTTCTTAAATGAGCCCGGAAGGCCAAGAAAGGGATTTCAGGGCCCCGAAAGAGATCTTAATAATTTTTTGGGGCCACACTACTCACAATTGTCACAAATTTAATTGATGCCCATCAAACAGACATTGGTAGTTTGACAATTGACATTGAACTTTCTAGCACAATACTCGAAAAATAAAATCAAATTTTAGGCCTAATTCTGTTTCCCAGAGACACAATATATCAATTTTACGGAGTACAAATTTACAAACCAAAGACTGCAAATCCAAAGCTTTTGTTTGAATAGATTCTATCATAAACTAAATGGTTAGTAATCCTTTTTCATTTAATCCTTTTCTTTTTTTGTTAAATTTTTTAGCTGCTTTTGTTGCAATTTGAATTGTTCGTTCAATCAATTGGTAATGAATTATGATAGATAAATTTGCAGCTGTTTGATAAATTGTTGTGATTGTAAGTTAAAATTAATGGGTACTTCATGAGTTTAACTTCTGCAGAAGATTTGTGGAGGGTTTTGTGTAGTATTTTAACTGTTTGTTGCTTTGTTTTGTAGGGTTTTTGTTAATCGTTTTTTTAGGGGTTATAAGAATTTGGTTGATTTGTTTGTGGAAGTTTTATATTGGGATTGTTCTTCTTCTGTTGATTTGGGTATTTTTGCTCGGTTTTCAATTGGTGTCAACTTGTTCTGTTTTTGTTGATGTGGGGTTTGGGGTTTTCCTTCCCATTTTGGGTTGAATTTGGAATAATTAGTTTTGTGCCTGCAACTTATGTGTAATTTATGAGAATATTATGTAAATTGTACACTTATTTTGATCTTGTCGATGTTATAAGCTGTAAATTTAGCTCTAAACCTCGGATTTTCTGTTGAAGTAGTTGAGGTTTGAGTTGAATGAATTGTGAGCTTCTGCTATAATAGCATCAACCACATCAAGTACAATCTCCACCTCACTACGTTCGATCAGGTAGTGAGGGGTATGCAATATTAGTTTTGGGAGAGGGGTATGGCATCAGTGGATTCGGGTCGGTCAGGTTGGACTGTGAAGGGAATAGAAATCATACCCATAACCAATTCTTTAACAAATGGAGAATAAGAAAGAAGGACAAATCTTGTGAAAGGCAGTATAGGCTGTATGATTCTACAATTGCTATGGGTTTTACTCCTTTATAATCATTTTTATTTGGGTTCAAGGACATAGGAACGAATTGTATACTTGCTATCTTGATTAGCTTAGTACATATTCAGTATATCTGTTCATTCCAAAGTAACCAAAAACTTTGATCGCTGGGTATATTTGCTTAGCAGTATGGTTACTGAACATCTTGTGCTACATTCCCTATTTTGTGATGAAGATATTGATTTTTTTACTTGAAAGACACTTCGACGAAATAGATTATTGAATATTCAGTGTAAGATAACCTATTTAAAATATAACAATCGTTGCTGTTTGATAAAAGTAAGGGTTTCTTGCATTATATAGATCTTTCAGAGTCTTGGGTTTTTAAAAGTAATGTTTTCCTTTTTTCTTCTTATATCATGTTATTAGCATTTTGAAATTTTGTGCTCTCATGTGTGAAGTTTCAAAGCATGCTCCCGAAATTGTTGTATACTATTTATATAGTTTGAAGATTGAACTTGTTGAGCGACTGTGTTGATTAGAATATATGTGTCTGTCATGGATTCTTTGGCAGCTGTGACTTGTGTACTCTTGAAAATTCCATCGTAATGTGAACCTTTTGGACATTGGTTGTTTGAGATCTGAAGTTATTGCCCCTCGAGAAGCATTCTTATTGTGAAATTTAGAGTTTGATATTAAATGCTGAATGTTTCCAGGCAGCTCCTTTAATTGCTGGGATGACTGTTGCCGCTGCTGCTCTTGCTGGTAGATATGGAATTCAAGCTTGGCAAGCATACAAGGCACGTCCACCAAGACCTCGAAAGTTTTTTGAAGGTGGTTTTCAACCCAAGATGACCAGGAGGGAAGCGGCTCTTGTCCTTGGTATAAGGTAGTTGTGATAACTTTTAGATTATTATGCTATTAAAGGTTTGCTTGCATGGGCTAATAAGTTTCTATCACAAATTTTATAATTAAGCAATGGTGCTAAGGTCTGTGCACATTTAGTTAGCTGAACATTAAATCTAATGCAAGTTTAAAAATTAGCTGAAAGACTGAAAACGTACCAGTAAGCTAGATTATTGTAAAAATTACATTGCTAACTAATTGTCTAATGTTATTTACCCTATTTTTCTTTTTTTTTCCCCTTTCACATTGTGAAGTTTTTAGCTAAGCAATGGTGCATTGGTACTAAGGTCTATGCATGACTAGTTAGCTAAAAATCTAGTACAAGTAGAAAAATTAACTAAGCAATGGTGCATTGTCTAAGTTAATGTACTTTGCAAAACTAATTGTCTAATGTTATTGTAAGCTAGGTTATTGTAAAAGCTACTGTACTTTGCAAAACTAATTGTCTAATATTAACTTAACCTAAAATGTAGGGTCCAAAAGGGGCAATAAATTAATTTGCTGCTAGCTTAGTCTAGTTTTGAACTCCCTAGATCAAAGCTTTGCTTTATACTCCCTTCGTCCCATAATATAGTTTTTGTTTTCCTATTTTGGAGAACCAAAATGTTGTTCTTATTTCTATTTTTGGATAGTTTGTAAAGACTATTATACCATCACCTTTTTTTTTTAAAATTTATTCATTGTACTTCCTAATTTACCTTTAAATTTTACACATGCCTTGTACTTTTTCCCACTTTCTCTCTCTAACTTTTGTCTATGATGGTACTTTTCACATTTATTAATGTACTTTATCCACTTTCTTCTCCTATTTCTTAAATACTTTGAAAAACACAAACAAGAACTATATTATGGGATGGAGGGAGTACTTTTTAATATCTACTAGCAGAGCTCAATTCAATAAATTAAAAAAAAATTCTTTAATTTAGCTATGTCATCATTTTACCTCATTTTATATGAGCTCTTGTTACATTGTGAAGTATATTTAGGTTTCTCAAAGCTCTATTCAAAGTTCACTATAAGCTAAGTTCGGATAGGAGAAGTTTAGAGTTGATACTTAATAAGTTCAGAAAAAATAAGTTTGTATAACTTCAGATAATATTAGTTTAGGGCTAATAAGTTTAGAGAAGATAAATTTAGTGAAAGTCAGGTGAAGGAGACATTGCTTTAAGTTATAACAGCATGACTTATCATCATATAGATGTAGAAGATAATGTTGTCAATATAGTCCTTTTATTCATTAATTCTTGCAACAATTTAACTACCACACATACACTCCTTTCTATAAATTTATGCAACTGTATATTAATTAAAACTATAAGCAACATTGATATTAGAAAGTCATGTATTGAGTGAGATTAGTCTAACAACATATTTCACAATAATATTTGGTTTTAATTATATCTATATTAGTAAGAAAATGTAATCAAAAGTTAAACTATTGTAAGTATCTAAGTATACAGGGGGATAGTGTTAGTTATGTACTAAGAATATTCTAATAAATTCACAGGATTGCAATCCCCCCCCTTCTCTCTCTCTCTCTTTTTTTTTTTTTTTTTTTCTTTTTTTTCCCTTTTCCCGAAAGTCAAAATGTTCTTACAATTTATTTTAGGACTGAGAACAATTTCATTGGTATAAGTTTTATGCTTACCTATTGTGCTTGCGCAAAATATCAGTTTCGCAAGATTCGGGGCAGCTTAAATGTTGCAATGTCCCTTTAATTTTGCGATTATAGTGTTTGGTATTTTTAAGAACCTTTACAGTTTGTTTGGATAAAGAAAGGAGAAGGAAAAGAAGGGGGAAGAGGAGGGGAGGGAAAGGAAGGGGAGGGAAGAATGGTGAGTTTTCCTTCCAAATCTCTCCATTGATGGAGGGATCAATTTCCTACAATTTAATCATTCCATTATTCTCCCCTCCATTCCCTCCCTTCCTCATTTGCTATCCAAATGAAAGATACTCCATCTCCCCATTTCTCTTCCCATCCTTTCCCTCCATTTCCTTCAATCCAAACACAGCGTTAATGATGCCAATTCTTCACTTTTGAGCTTTTGCCACGTACTGGGATTCCAAGAAGCTTAATGGCTACTTAGCTTCTCTCCTTAAATTTCTAAGCATCTTTGTCACTTTAAAATCTATTATCTATTTTATATACTCTCTAATGTATATGGAGTATATGTTAGCCTACAATTCTTACTTCTTATTTAATTTTATTTTATAAGTTTTCCTATTTTGTGGAAATTTGGTTATTGTTGCTTTTTTTTTCCTTCCTTCTTTCCCAAGTTTTAATTTTCAACGTACATCTCTGGACCTTACAATGGCAGGGAGAGTGCAGCTGCAGAGAAGGTCAAGGAGGCTCATAGAAAGGTAATGATTGCAAACCATCCTGATGCCGGTGGAAGCCATTATCTTGCCTCTAAGATAAACGAAGCTAAGGACATGATGGTTGGGAAGCCCAAAGATAGCGGCTCTGCATTCTAAATTTGTGTAGGATATTTGTTTTAACCCTCGCAAATAAGATTATTTTCCTGTCCCTCCACCAAAACCTTCAAAGTCGGTGAAGGATTTGGAATTCCTTTGGAAAAGCAAAGGTGAATGAGCATATACAGGTTGTTGTAGTTGGCTGCAATTTTCAAACTTGTACACTATTTGACTGGTGAAACACCAGAACTATTTATATGAATTGCTCTCATTTTCTTGTCATGTCATGATTGTTATTGTAATATTGTATTACTGCTAAGTTTAAGCTATTTGGAACGGAAATCTATATGAAAATTTTACCATTTATTCTTGAGATTTTAAAGAGTGCGTCATGTATCCCTAACCTTGATTGTTTAATGGTAATCAATATACAAGTAATTAATTACTCGAAGAGAATGTTTATCCAAAATCAAAATAATATATAATTCACATAAAAACAAGATTGGTGGATAGGTCCTTGAGAGTAAAGGGGGAGGTAAGGGAGAATCCTCCAACAGTCCTACTCCCGAGCAAATGTAGTTGAAGGAAGTGAATTTATAACCTCAAAGTCAAAGATGACTTTCTCACTAACTTCACCAAACAAAGCTTGGTACATGGTATCAATATACACACGCTTAGCCTTAAACATGTAGACGACTGGGGGATTGTACTGGATTACTCGTATAAAGTAATTGATGCTTTATAATCCTCACCCCTTAAAAAGTTTCACCCATGCACCTTATGAACAGTGTTCAAGCATGGGAATCGCATGTGTGAGAGCATGTGCACTTCGCACTTCACATGCATGATTAATTTTTTTTTTTTCAAGAAAGACACATGTCTTCTTCTACTTCTGCACTTCTCTTTCTTTATTTGATGATTCATGCAACCTTGCTTTTTACTTTGAAATTAGCCACTTTGTTTGTTTTTCTCTTCTCTAGTGGATGATGCTGACAAATAAGGCTTGTGTTGCCAACAAATGAATCTGTAGTTCTTATTCTTCCAAACGTCCTCTTGATCTCCTACTTCCTGCTTTCAAACGTTTAAAGGTTTGATTTTTCAATTTTTTTTTGGGTTCAAGTTTTCGATAAGTAGGGTTTTGATTTTGATTTAGATCAAGATGTAACAATTGATTTCTTTAATTTGATTGATTGTTAAGGGTTCGGAAGCGTTATCGTCGATGGAGGATAAGTCTAACCCACCTGAGGTTGGATCAGCTGAATCAAGGAATCCACCTGAGGTTGGATCCGTTGAATCGCTGGTAATCATTTCAGCTTCTAATCTAAGTAGGGTTTCTTTTAAGCGATGGCTAACCAATTTAGTTGTAACCACCGATCAAGGCAATTCGCGGGTTTCCAGTGTCGTTAACTTGCCTGCTTTCTCTATCTCAGCTTAATTTCGCCGGCTTGTCATCCACAGTCACCACTTTGCACTATCAAACTCCGACAGACCGAGGAATGGAAGAATAAATAGTCGCTGAACCAGGGTGAAGGTGAAATCATCAGTCACAGATTTTTGTTTTTTTGTTACTTGTTACTCGTAATTGCTAATTTTTATTGGGGTTTCAATTGATTAGTCTACTAATTTTGTTAATAGATTTTGATAGAATTGGTCTACTAAATTACTAATTGTCCAAAATTGAGGATTCTGGATTGTGCTTTTAGATGATTTTAAAACAAATACCAGTAGCTGTTTTTTTATAACCTTAATTATCAAAGCATAAGCCCTAATTAGTTTTTGTTTGGGCAGATTCTTGGAAAAGCTGAGTCCTTGAATCCCAAAGGAAGTGTCAAAGACAGGATTGCTGTTAAAATCACATGAGAGGTAATTTAAGTTGAATTTCTTGTTGTTATATTGTGGTTCGTGTGGATTTGAATCCTGTATTTTGGTATTTTGAAAGTTCAAATATTGGCAAAATCCATGAATATCTCAAAAATTAAGTGTGTACTCTACATGCTATTGCTGGATTAAGATTAAGTATAATCGCCCCCCTATGTCCTTGTCTGGATAACAGCAGCCATTGAAGTTTGCGTTTAGGCCTAAGATTTATAAGTTCCTATAATAGACGAAGTATCTTGCAACACTATTTACATTACTTCAATTATTTTAAATAGGTAACTGCATTAGGTCGTGTGGTGATAAGGTCATAAGGATACCTTAGCTTAAGTTATTTAACCAACAATTAGAGCTTATTTGGTTGTCTTTTCATTGGGCTTCATTGTCATGATTAAGATTTAAGAACATTAGAGTTCATATTTCATTTGCTGCGGCTAGAAACCCTTGAATTTTATTACATATGTGTTTTTGGAGCTTCACCTGACACATAATAATATAAGATGGTCAAATGAGGTTTTCCTTAAGGTTTTCCCCCGCATTTTTAATTGTCAAGTTCTTATAATGATCTTCCTCTGAGCAACATGTTACGAAAATACATCACTATTTTGAAGCTTCTATACTCTCTATCCTTGATAATAGGACACATTTGATATGAGGTCAATTACCTTGAACTGGGTTATTATCCCATAAGTATCCATCACTAATTTGAGTTTTACATTTCAACCATTAAGGTAATGTGGGTAGATCCAAAATTTAACGGTTTAAGTAGTTTGTGGCCTGGTATGTTGAGAGGTGTGAATTTGAAATGTTCCGATTGTTCCCCTGCTTGCCTATCCTTTTGTGCTATTTTATTTTGTCAGCTTGTTTCGTCTTATATAGAAATTCTCCAGAATTTTTTCATTCTTTTGGAGCTCTCAAGAATGATTCAACATCTGATCATTTATTAATTTTTTCATTATATGTGACAGTTTCCCTGGCCAAGCTGCCTGTGTGAGATTTTCTTCCCAGGGAGCTCCAGCTGCATCTGCTGCTCCTGCTGAGGAAAACAAGGTTTGTTCTTGAATTTATTTGCACTTCTTTAGTTGTCTTTGAAACAAAGATGGTTGTAACATGTGATGCACTAGGGTAAGAAATGGTACTAATTATACTTGCTATGGCTGTTGACAAAAACAAATAACTTTGTATAATTTACAATTTACTCATCAAAATCCTGTGAGATTCAATTAGTCACTAAATAAAGAACTTGTATGATCTATAGAATTCAAATGATAACAAATGATAAGAAATGGTACTAATTACACACGTATGATTTTGTATATGTTCTCTTCTTTCATGATTAAAAGAAAGTTAAAAAAAAATGGCTTTAAATAATATTGTTTATAAGATAACTGGTTTTAATCTGAAAGCGCTGCAATGTCAATGTCATTTTTTTATGGCCTATGATTTTTCCCCTCTGTCACTGTTTGATAGTATTATGGTTCTCTTATGAAACCCTTTTTTTTGTAAATTTGCAGGAAGCAATGGCTGAAGATGATGACGATGATATGGATCTCTTTGGTGATGAAACCGAGGAAGAGAAGAAGGCTGCAGATGAGAGAGAGACAGCTAAGAAGGCATCTGAAAAGAAGAAAGAAAGTAAGATTTGTCTTTCGAACTGTACCTAAATTGTCTTAGATTTTTGTGCTTTGCTGAAGAGACGAATCATGTGCATTCTATCAGCATTAAATTTTCGAGCGTTACACCTGGATAATGGGTGTTATGCATGATCTAATGCTAAAGTAATATCCTTCTCCTGAGACTTTTATCCTATAGCGGAAGAACTATAGTCTTTCCCTTTAGAGATGGGAAAATTGTCTTTTTTATTTTTATTTTTTTTATGTCATATATATGCAGAATTAATCTTTAGATAATGCTTTATAACACAGAGGTTGGTTTATCAAACTTTTTATCTGGAAAATACTGTGATCGGATAATAATTGAATCTAATTGCAGAAGAGATTATGACCATATGAGTAATACTGTTTGGGAGTTCATCCAGATTTTTTTCTGCTGGACATACATAATCCATGAAATATAGGTATAGCTGAGAGCCTGAGACCATGGACATACATAATTCATACACATTCAAGTTCTGTCTTATAATTTAATTGATTCTTATTATTTTATAGTTCAATATTTTTGAACTTGTTAGTGCTGACTTAGTGAAATCCAAGATCTTAATTAGCACACAAGTTACTGAAGTTTACATGGGAATATGGGATGGTATTCATTATGGTGATTTTCTAGAAAACATTGAACTTCAAACCTGTCTTCAATCAAAGTGTTTCATTAGTCCAATGAACTTAAATTATTTTCAATAGCTTTTAAATCAATACGAAACGACTGCCCTTGTGCCTCTCAATTTCAACTCAGGGCATACAGCTTGCCTGGTAGTAAATACAAGAAGTCTCTGATGTGGAATAACCTATGCTTTTTATAAATTAGAATAGAAAATTATCTGATAAAGGCTATTGTTTCGTATAAGGTGTAAAACAACATACGAAGTATATCATATTATGCACTACTAGGTACTACAACAAGAAAATTCCATCAAATGTCATGAAGTTGTGTAAGCATAGTAATGTCGGCAGATGATATGCTTATGTAATTTGCTATTACATATTCCATGACTTATACATACAGGAAGCTTCTGGGCATTCTCTTCTATTGGTGCCATTGAAGGAATCAACGCGATCAATAAGAAAGAACTCATCACTCAGAGCAGGAGCTTGTAGATTAAGACAAGGATGACGATAGTTGTGATGGGGGTTACATGGACAACGCGTTCAAGCGGGTCATAAACAATGGTTGGTGGTGAAGCTAATTACCCTTACAGTGGAAGTGGTTCTACCTGTACTACCAAGTACCAACAAGGTCCTACTCAGTTTTCTTCACGTTCATGCGATGTTAATGTCAATGATGTGAGTTTTTTGCTAGCAAGCTACATTACTCAGACTTGGGTACCCATGTCAGACATGAGTATCCAAGGGTTAGCTCGCTATATAATTAGAAGTTTGTAGGATATTGGTCCCAAATGAAAAAAGAGAAAAATATAGAGGGATAGGGTCTAGGGTCTAAAGTATAAGGTCTAAGGGAGAGTAGGAAGAGACATGCCTGGGAAGATAGTAGGTTTGGTGGACTGGTGCAGGGACGCAGACAACCTTTCTTTGATTGGGTTATGCAGTGTGTAAAGCCATTGAGCGAGGAAGATAAGAAATGGGTTATGGTAATTTCCCAAGCTACTTGGGGAGCTCGAAACCGTGGGGTTTTTTAGAATGATTGGACTGATCCAAAGGAGATTGTTCAATGTATATGCTTGGTTTAAGCTGGTTTAGTTTGGTTTAAGATGGCTACAAAAGGTTAAGCCTGTCATCCAAGAATGCATTGAGAAGTACTCGAATGGGAAGTAAATGAGAAGTTAAAAGGTCCTTTATCATTGAGAAGTTGAGAAGTACCCAAGTGAAAACTTGGGTTAAGCCTGTATATATATGTGAGAAGTTGAGAGTGGATTTTACAGCAGAATCAGGAACAACATGGGTACCGGAAACACCATACTTGAAGAACTTAACAGGATGCCAGAAAACAGGAACTTTGAATTAGTCTATATATATGCAAGGTTTAAGCTGGTTTGGTTTACTTGCATTGGAAAGTTTAATTTGGTTATGGGAGATGAGAAATCAACAATAATTGTGATGTAGAATAATTACTCCGTACAGAGTTAAACGTTAGCCAATTAGCTTCATAAAAAACAATCACCATCCTTTCTATGTCCACCTAAACGACCACTTTCACAAAGTAGTAATCAACCTTAATAGTGTGAGAGGGAGCATCATACTAAGAAGGTGTTCTATGCGTAGGAATAGGGAAAAGATTACTCGAGTCATGACATAAGATATTTATTGTTGTCAGTTATTGCTATGTGAAGAGAACTGATTGACAGTATCAATGAAGTCTAGGAGATTTGCTTTAATTTCTTTGGTGGAAATGTGTAATGTTCCTCAATTTATAAGTTTTGTTCTTATTTAAATAGACAAAAATATATTTTGATGGATGTTTCACCTATCAAATGGGAATAGGATTCCTTAATTCTTAATTATGTTTCTTAATTTTTTCGCCTTCCAAAACTCTCCCTTTCTCTACCCCGATCTCTGTCTCTCTTCAATTTGCTCTTCTTTTTTTATGTTTCATAACTTGTAGGTATTTCATAACTTGTACTCCCTCCGTTCCTTTATTAAATGCCTATTTTTCATTTGGCACGGTAATCAAGAAAGTTAAAGATTTCTTAAAACTAATAATTGGGAGTATATATATGCATGTGGAGTTAGAGAGAGATAGAGAGAAAGAAGAAGTGGTTGGGAATTAGGAGAGTAAATGTATTGGGAATTGATGTTAAAGTATAAAAAAGAAAAAGAAAAAAGGTGATAAATCATCAAATAGAGAATAATATTGTAAAAAAGTACAACCTATAAATAAAAACATGCACTTAATTTTGATGACCCAAAAAAGGAATACAGACATGTAATAAAAGGACGGAGGGATTATTAAAGAATGAAAGAACACAATTTTAGAAAATCTATGTCATTCATAACTTGGGATTACTTTTTTCTTAATGTGGCTTGTACAAGTTATATCTTTGCATATCTTATATGTACATGTTGTACATAGTAATTGTTATTAGTTTGTTGTCCTTGCTCCAACAAGTTAAGCTTTTTACATGAAAATTTCATTCTTTTACTGTAACAATTTGTACTTATGTGTGTAATGTCTAGCATTTCGTTAAATTACTTTTTGAGGATAAGCTTCATTTATATAGTATTATTTTGAAAGTGAATACGAACACACTCTTCTGATCTCTAACCGTAGAAGTCACTTTGGTTGGTTTATTAGATGGATTTTAGCTCAGGTGCTCTTTAAGAACTCTGTTGTAGATTCTAGAACTATAATTAACTCTATGACTGCAATTCCCATTTTGCACTCATAATGCTTTTGTTGTATTAGTTAATGGTGTGTTAGCTTTGAAAATGCATGATATCTTATGCAAACCTTTGCATTTAACTACAGTAAATAAATCAGTTAATAAAATGTTATGTTTTTTCTTCCTTTAATAGATTTAAGCATTTAATTACGACATAATTTTTCTTATCAACAAAACAATAATTATGCAAGTAAAGTAAAAGGAAGGAATTTGAAAGAGAGGCCAGGATACACGACAATTTTTAATCATTTTTCCTTTAACCATGGTTATCCCTGAAGTCGAGCTACCTATACGAGTTATCTATTACAAACCTATTTTCATGTCCTTGCTTAACATACTTTCTACACCAGACTATATTATGGTTGATTCAGACTATATTATGGTTGATTCATCTTTTGGAATAAATGTGTTATGTATACATGAATAATAACTATGCTAGAGAAGACTGTGCCATCGCCAAAATTGCTTATGAGTATAATAGTCTTTTTCATGTTTTTTTTTTCATAATTTCATTAATTAATCTGTTTCATTCGCTAATTTAATATGTTTATACCGTCTTCGATTTTAAACAATTTGTTATTGAAAGTGAACATTTTTGTTATAAAGCTGAAAACAATTTAAAGTTGTGTTTTTTTCCTTTTGTTGGACCGAGAAATAAGATAAAAAGATGGAGAGGGTACATCATATCATGAGATTGAGATAGATATGTTTTCTCATACCTGTGAAACTCTATGGAAGTAGAAATTTGCAAACCACGAGTGAGTATTCGTTGAAAAGAAAAGAGCATTTTCTTGCATTTCATATACTTTTAGAATAGAATATTTAGCTAACTAGCTAGGTCAGATTTCAACTTAGTCTACTGGTAAGTCCCTTAAGGCTTTGTTCGGTTCAATATTAGTAAAAGAAAGAAAGGGAAAGAAACGGAATGGAAAAAAAGGAAGAGAAGGGAAAGGAAAGGAATGAAAGAAATTGTATCATCCAATGTTTGGTTTTATATTAATAGAATAAGGAAATTGAGATGAATCTATTGTTAGGTATGACATTAATAAAGGGAGGAAAAGGGAAGGAAAAACTAATTTTAAATTTAATAGATTTAAATTCTTTCTTTCCTCTCAAATTCCTTCAATTTTGGAAAGAAATAAAAGGGAAGATTTTATAAAGGAAATTTTCCTTCTATTCTTCATCATTTCCTATCAAATCCAATTTTTTAAAACCAAACATAAGAAACCATATTTTAGCTTTCTTTACTTTTCCTCCCTAAATACCTCCCAACCAAAATGGGCCTAAAGTTCTTTCGTAAAATAATTCAAGAACAACCTATTTATGTTTTTATGTTAGTTAAAAATTAACCGTATAGTAATTGTTTAGCATATATAACTTATAATAATCATAAACTAATTAATTAATACATAATAAATCTACAACAACATCATTTTACTAAATAAAATTTGCACAATTGGGCGGTGTGCGCGCACACAACTAGATACCCCAAAAAAAAAAAAAAAAAAGGTTTTATGGTCTGGACTAGAAAAATCCGGTTAAAACTCAGACCGGACCGAAAACCGGACAGGACCATTTTAGGACCGAAACCAGACTTGAATATTCTGGTCCGGTTTCTTTTTTATTTTTTTTGGTTAAAGGGAGCGAAATATTAAGTTAAGGCATAGCTAACATCAGTACAGCACATACAGATAGTATCAAAAGGCATATAAGCCATTTCATCCTAGGGATAATGCCACGCAGGGCCAAAATGTACAGAATTAGCACCATCAGAATTAGAATTTAAGTTTGGCAAAAGATTAGGCTGCTGGTATAATACAACAAATTTTTCCAGCCAGTTAGGATCTGGGTGCTTGCTAGGATTAGCCTTGGGTAGGAGTCTTGTTGCTTCCTTGGCTTGAGCATCCACTAGCTTCAATTTCGATCTTGGGACCTTGATCAACTTGCATCCCTGAATTTCCTGAATTAGCTCCCTGCATGTAATGTATAAATGACCTGCTTCATCAGTTGGAGTATTCTGATCATTAATGCCTAAGACAGCCCTTTCACAATCAGACCAAATGCACACATTTTCCCAGCCCCTACACTTAAACAAATACAATGCAGCAAGGATGGCAAGAGATTCCACAATTAAAGAGCTAAAAGCTGCACAATGGGAAGCAATCCCTTCCAGCCAAAGACCATCAGATTGCTTACACACACAAGCAAGTCCAGCAGATAGAGATGTCTCTCTGAATGAGGCATCCACACAGATAGTAATAGGAGAGAGAGGAAGGGAAGGTTGGTTTAGAATTGAAAGGCAGGAGAAACTAGAGTGACTGAGGAAAGCTAGTTCATTAGCCAGCCAAGTGGAGTACTTAATACAAGACTCAGAAGAGATATTCACTTTTTGGAAAACCCATTTGTTTCTCCTGTGCCAGATTTTCCAAGAAAGAATGGCAAAACAAGAACTCCAAGAACAAGGAAAAGGGCTAATGATCTTTGAGACAGACAGGTTGTCACCTATCCATGAGTCAACAGATGAATGATTAAAGAAAAGAGGGGGGGTTGGCAGAGAGTTCCATATCTCAGCAGCTCTTGGGCAGTCTCTAAGGACATGTAAGAGAGTTTCTGGTTGAGACGGACAGAAGCAGCAAAAGGGAGAAATTGGAACAAGTTTAGAGTTGAGGAGGCAAGCAGTAGGGATTCTATCCCAAGCAACCTGCCAAAGGAACATCTTGTTTGCAGGAGAGACATCTAAACTCCAGATTTTGTTCCAAA